TTATTATAATTTCCCAATAAACACTATGCCTAGAAGGCTATATATTTTTGCTTTGTGTAAAAAAATATGAAAAACATTACAAATGTAAACATGTCAACTTCAAAAGATACAGCTTTAGGATTTCTCCGTGCTACTACGTGTTCATTACCAATACTCTGTGACTAACAGCGTTTAATGTGTACGTACTTTATGACTTTAGTCCAGTGTCCGATAATAACTTTAGACAGGCTCAAACTAACGATTCAAAATGCCCTAAATACCGAAGGCGAACTTAAGACATCGCAGATTTAATGAGTCTGATGACGCAACCGTGACTATATTTAGACTTACTCCTTATATATGTCAAAGTGGTCGTGGTGTAAATAAACATTAGCAGATAGAAAGTTGGGATAGATTAATCAACGAACATATAATTAAATTATAAATAGAGATGCATTATTTCACAAGAAGATATAATACGGTTTGGTCGCCTCATATTTCCTCATCATATTTTTCCTCTTGAGTCATTTTGCAAGTTTTGCAAAAAAAAAAACGTTTCGTAGCTTTGTCCGGGAGAGCATATTTTCATGAATAAATTAAAATTATATCTGAATTTTTGTAAATGGATGTGTTTTTTAGAAAGCAGTTGAAAGTTACTACAGGCTTGGCTGTTTTCTTCCAGTGGATCAGAGATGAACCACTGAGGTTTTAGTACTGGAACTATCGGAAGCCCTATAAATCGTAATTAAAAACGAGCGCAGTAGCTCAACCACGCAGTTCGCCTATTTCAGAATTTAAGGTATGTAGTTTAGACTTTAATTATATCATCAGTGGCGCGATTATAACACTGTAGGGTACATTTTGCTAGGCCTGTACATTATTTTGTCTTTCTGTTTGCAAACGAAGCAGTTTTGCGACACTTCGCTTTTTCTCGTTCCTCATAAAAGCACGGAAAAGAAGTGTACATTGCCAACCGAACTGCAGCGTTACCGTGATCGAGTCGCACTTGTTTTACTGCGTCTATTTAATTGAAAGCTGTTCTGTGCATATTCTCGGAATCGTATCAAAGAGCTGTTAATGGACAACCCGAGGTTCAGCTCTTCGAAATAGCTTCTGTCAATTCAGTGAATGCTGTTTTTATTTAGATATCATGGTGAAATGTAAATAGAACATTGATTTCTCTGATGTAATCCACAACTATATAAAAAGCCAAAAAGAATTCATTATTTTACTCGTGTAATCCTTGGTGCAAAAAACAACGTTTTGCATAACTCATACCAAGGTATTTAATTAAACTTTTTGCACAATTGTTTGAGAATATAGCATAGGGCGATACGCCCTACTAAACACCAATCCACTTTCGAAATTAAACAACAGTTCTTGAAAATCACCCATGTGTCTGCATTAAGTTTGCGATGCTACGGGAAAAACAATATCAAGCGCACCATCCACGCCCAGAATGCCGCATTCCGTATCCGGGAACTGGCGGACACGTATGTTGTCCTAGAATGCGAAACAATCACATGTGATATTCGTGTTTTCCTGTCGTATTTAATTCTGATGTACTTTTCCATGATGTCAAAAAAAAGAAAAACAAATACCATAGTATTTCAGTAAACAAAGACCATATTTTACCTACAAGAACCTAAGATTCGCAGTTTCAATGTTCCGTGTTGAATTTTTGCCGTTGCTGATCTTGCTGCTTTGGCCTAAGCGCGCTGATTCCAGCACGTAGCTGCATGACCACACTCAATTTCGCTCTCTTTCACGACAGACGAGTGCAGAGACAGGCCGACAGCCGGTGATAAATAGAGGGAACCCCTCTTCTCTCATACCTGAATGACTCTCATGTTGAGGCCCGTCTCCTGCGCCAGCTGCTCCCGGATGTGCCTGGTGGGTTTCGGCGTGGCGGCGAAGGCAGCCTTCAGTGTCTCCAGCTGCTTGGCCTTGATAGTGGTCCGGGGACCTCTTCTCTTAGCTCCCGAGTTCTGCTCCTCGTTCTCGTTATTGTTTGTCTCCTTGTCTGAGGAGGTGGAATTGTCCGTTTCTTTTGTGTCGTCCTGTATCGGGTCTTGGAGGTCCGGCGACAAACTTCTATCGGTACACGAAGACACTGTGGACGGACAACAGAAAGCTCTTTATCCGTTTGCTCGGGTGGACACCTCGCCTTCCACACGCGTCGCTTTCCAACACCAATTACTCGTCATTTCAAAGAAAGACTAAAATCCTCTCAAGAAAGTAACAAAGAGAGGAACGCAGGCAGCGCTCTGTCAGGGTCTCTCTGTCAGAATGAGGTGTTTCTTAATTCCTCGTTTTATTTCTGGGATGTTTTAAACCCACTGAAAGGAGAGCTGCTGAAAGGGTACGCTTTGTGAAACGAGCCCCATACGTTGGAAAAACAGTTCACACGTTCACTAACAGTTCACAAAAACCGCCGTTACAAAGCTACATTTTCTTTTTTAAGATATGGAAGCATAATTTGCTAAGATTTCAAATTTAGCTGAGTAGAAATATATTCACTGGGGCCACTTTGTTCAAGATTTCAAAAAAAAATTATAATATGACATTCCACAGATCTTGAGCTTTTCTTGCAGATGGGTAGACATTTGGCTATAAAGATCTGTAAAGAACACCGAGTTTACCAAACATTTCCAAACTTAGCAAAAGGCCTGCTCAGTACAAAATGTTAATGTCCCTGCATAAAACATAAATAACATACATGTGTTGTCTGCTGGCTATTTCTCCAGATAGGCCAGCTAACCTCGAAACAAATATGAGGTGTTCAGGTAATACATTGTTGGGAATAAACTAACACAACTCAATTTTCACACAATACACACTTCATACTCAGGTAGCTGCCAAAAATGATACTGTGGTACTTGGAATAATCTTTTATATACTATTTAGTCATGCGCATTATTTCAAAGAGGTACAGAAAACACTAATGTACACTTTGTTTCGAAAATCTGATTCGGTGTCTGCGAATATTGTAGGTCTATGAAGATTTCAGAGGGATTATTTTATACACCTAGTCACGCTGAACTTAAAATCATGGAAGATATATTTAGAATTCACATCAAGCCACATAACAGGGACTTTAAAATCGGGATTTGTTATTGTTTCACGAGGATCATGCTTTCGGTTGGACTAATATAAAAATACGAAATCAGAATATAACACGAACTTGATTAGAAAGACCTATTCTTCAAATCGTTGTCTAAATTATGGCTTTTCGTCTTGCATTGTCAAAAGGCAGCCATTCTGTTCAAAGGTGACGGATGCACAGCACCAAATGGCCCCGTTACCTCCGGTATTACAGACCACCAACAGCCGACTGCTGAGTTCTCTTTTCTAGAGCCTGTTCTCCAGGAATACTCTGCGTAAATGATAAAAAATTCATTTACACTATTGCACCACGAAATAATAAACAAGGACCGAACAAGGCTGTATTCGGGATTTCCGACCACAAATACGTATAAGAAGTTCTTTCGAGAACCACTAAATAATAAGTGGAAATTAAGTACAGTAAGTGTTTTTAAAAAGACGTTTCTTTGTAACTTTCTGAATTTGATTGTTCCGGTGTCACTATTTCAATGCATTATTGTCCGTATGGATTTAGTGCGTGGGCTAATGTCACAATAAATAATAAATAATCACAACAATGCAAAACAAAAGCATGTTGGCCAAAAAAACAAAGCAGGCCAGTCCTGAATTCAAATGCAAAATGTTGATCTTTCAAAAGAGGTTAACTGGGTGCTTTTGGATAGACCTTTAAATCACACGGACACACGGAGTGTTTAGGGTTAGATTCAAACACGAATTATTTTCTTTCTTACTGCCAGAATTCATTCAACTCACAACCTAGAGGTTAGACTTTAGTTTGCATAAAATATCGGTCATTTCTTTCGTTAGTATTAGCGTTCTTCTACGTTTAAGCCTTATTTTTTGTAGCAATATTCTTATAAAAGGGTTTCCAAATATTTCAAGGGCACATTCTTTTAATATACTGTAAAAGAAGAGAAATAGGTTGCAGGTGAAGAATTCAGCTTAATTAAACTACAGTCTTTTTACTACGTTCTTACCTCATGAAAATAAACTATGGATGAGGTGTAGATTCGTATCGACATTTTCCATTCTTCAATAGAAATAACCACAAGTTAAAATGCCAAACTATCAAATACCAGTAACAGGCAGAATTCCAGGTCTGACGTTTAATGTATGCCGTCATATTCTCTTCCCTTTTCTTCGTGACTATAGATCTGAAGGCGTCTTGCTTAAAACTTGTGACAGATTCTTCAAGAAACAAAAGTCTGGAGAGTTTTTCAACACGGCGAAGCTGTACGGAACCACACTGCGTACAGTTTACACACGCAATACAAAAATAACTATCAATGACGGGTGTAGTCCAAGACAAATTAATATTTTAAGACTGGCACTAGCGACTCAGGGGCTCTCTGCCAGCTGACGCCACACGAGCTTCCTGTAACACGGTTCTAAACACACCTCACTGAACTGAGCGCTGCCTCCTGTTTAGCAATGGAGCTCTGCCAGGCCCTGCGCGGATATTCGCCAGTGTGCGGTGCGGTGCTTTAGCGCTTGGAACCCAAAGCAGTTTGGGAATAGAAGCGAGTTTACCAGACACACGTTTCGTGTGAAAGCAGACTGATGGATAATGTGTCAGAAAGAGGGGGAGAGAAAAAGTCTAAGCCGTTTGTCAAAAAAAGAAGAAAATGTCATAAAAAGCATCTGAGCTCTGCGGTGTAAAAATATCATTTAGATTATTTCACATTGTCTGTACTAGCATAGATCCTTAAAATCTGGAAACTCTGGTGAGGTTATTTAAAAAAATATTCGCAGGAAAAATACGAACTGCTTCTCTGGAGTCTTTCTAATCGCGCCAACCACTTGGGTACCTTTGGCGTTTGCGCTGACTTGTGACGAGACGTTGCCCTGTCCGTGGTGCTGAATTTCCTTCCAGGAAGATTTTTTTCTAACCGCTCCATGCAGCGCAGGGTCGAGGGGGAGCCGGAGCCTATCCCGGCAAGCAGTGGGCGGAGGGCAGGATACACCCTGGACGGGACATCACAGACTTTGCCCTGCACACACCGACACCTGGGCCGATATTCCCAGAAGCCCATTAACCTAGTGTATTTGGACTGTGGGAGGAAATTGGAGCGCCCGGGGGACACCAGCACAAACACAGTGGGAACATGCGAATTCCACACAGACAGCACCCCAGATCCGGAACAGACCCCGGGGCTCTGCAATGCTCACCACTGCACCGCCAGGAGAACGACGTTCTTCTACATTTGTACGCTGTCACGCAAACACGCTGTCACACAAAAGTGCTTAAACACTTATCCACGATTATGAAAATCTCATGCCAGCCTTGTATATAACACGTCTGAAAGTAATTTACTTAAATGGAATTTGAAATCTAATTAAAATACACATATTTTCTACTGAACAGGATTATGCGGGATAATCTCGTAAGAAAAAAACATGGATCATTTGAAACGTTTTAAGCGATTAAAAATGCATTGGATTCGCCGAAAATGACATTATTAAACAAAATAGGTGGGTACCTATGTGCACCATGTCTTTTTATAGTTTATTTTCTTTGTTGTTCAATATAAATATAAGTTGTTGGAAGAGGAGGAAGCAGAAACTGACGCGTCAGATGTAAAACGCTTCTTAACAGGTAATCATTTTAATTTGCCACGGCAGGGATGTAAACTCATGTCAGATAAGAATTGGGATACACTATTATTCTATTCTCTGTACTAGTTTTATCCCTCTTTGCTGTGTCTTTGGTCCTGTACAAACGCCCACAGCATTAAGACACTCTGTACAGCGACACCTGGCACCTAAGCCTGTGGTTCTTGAGGAATTCTTTTAAATCCGTGTTTTCACAAACAGCAGCTAAAACAACAAAAAGCAACACTTTAACCAACTGTTTCTGTAAAAGTTATCGTTTCACCTTTATTCTCACTGTAGATTTGTTTTCTATAAAGACGAGCTGATCATACTTGCGAACAGGCCTGGGTTAATTTGCACTGCGGTTGATTCAAGTTGGATCATTTCAGGGGTAGCTTGAAGACTTCAGAAGCCTCAGCAGGCAAATGGATCCGCTCATTGCGTCCATTTGACAAAATTCTCATGGCCTACATCAAACTTCTGTTTGTGTACATAACGGATCGACCAGCCAGTCGTACTCCAGTCACATCTGTTGTATGAGAACGCCCCAGTATCTACAACTAAGGCGATACCAGCCCGCTTGGATGCGTCTCTACGTTTGTTTGAGAAAGCACGCGCCTCGTTTTTGCGTGTATTTAACACCGTGCTGGGGGGGTGCTGGGGGGGTACGGAGACAGTGCTGCTGCGAGGGGGAGAGCTGCAGCCCCGCGGGGCGACAGATACCCCCAGGAAGCGCCTCGTGCTAACCCCACGCGCCCCAGCCCTGGCTGCTCCGGCGTCGTCGTCGGCATGATCGGTGATCGGTGATCGGTGATCGGTGATCGGTGTACTAGACCACAGTGCAGCAGGACAGTGTCACATCTGTTACAGCCCCCCCCCCACACACACACACACTATAAACGAGAAATTCACACCAGGGGAGAAGTATGATAAAGAAGCAGGTGTTCATAACCCTCCAGCTCATCTGCCTACGTGCGCGGTTCTGAATGGTAAAAGATGGCGGAATTTGGATGGGGGCTCCCTGGGTTTAGAAATTGAAAGCACACGGAATTCGTCATGGCTGGCGCCAGACATCATTTTGCTGAACGACTGTTTTGCTTGTTTTATTTTCCTTAATTCATGAGACGATTCAATTAAACAAGGCCGAAGGTGGTACAAGACGCAGACTTAGAAAACTATTTATTTAGTTGATTGTTTATTTGTTTGTCTCCCAAGCGCCGGCGTTGTGTTAATATGGTTATGGGTATTTTCCCGCAAAGCAGGTGCTGATGCCAAAGCGGCTCCATGTTTTACCGGGGAGCCAGCCTAAGCTCTCCCGTGTGCCAGCACAAACTGGAACACACTGCAGTGTTTGCTTTTCAATATTAATTGAGCGAAAATTAACCACTTTTTTTTTAGTTTTCACACAGTCAAGCATAAACTGTTACTGTAACATCCCTTTAACAGTCGTTATTAGACGACTGGGAAATTGCATGTCTTGGAGGTAAGAGCTCCAGATGCCAAAAGAAAAACCCAAATATATTTTCATTCATTATACTGCATGGAAATAAATGTAGAAAGATGATGCATGCATGTATCTAAAACTGTGTAAATCATGTTTAATATTGATTTAAGCAGATAACTGTCTTAAAACGTCTTGGGCCTGGTTTTGGTTAATTTGGTCAATTAAACTTTCAATCCTGCCCACCAATGGTAGGTCAACAACTTAATTCCCTCTCTGCGAAAGGAAACTCGGCGCCCGGTATTGGTTAAGTAATTCGCGAGAAAGACGTAGATCGAAAGTTTTTTGGATCTCAATGTTGATCTGAATAAACGAATGCATAAATAAACCTGAATGCAAAATTTGACTTTGCCCTTGGCGAACTATTTCTTTAAAAAAAGTCCATAATCCCTGCTTGTGACAGATCAGAAGTTATGAATGTAGCAAAAATCAAAGTCCATACAAAGTAGACGAAAGCGCATGTACCGTGTACCAGCGCATCCCCCGCTTCGGAGCCCAAACGGCAGCTCAAGCAGTATCCTGTCACAGTAATAACTGCGAGAAAGATCAACAGAGATAATCGGATGATATATGTAAACTTGAAACCGGACAGGTTAAGAGATAAAGAAATGTCAAATATTCATAAAAAGAAGGCATCGTTCGCTTTCACTCTCGCTGAAAGTGTTAGCAAGCACTGCGTGACTCTAAAACGAAAACTGGTCTCAGCAGAACCGCGAAACCTCTCCCTTTCTCACCTCGGAGGCTCCAAATGTTTGCAGCAGGTTTCTTCAAAAGAACTAGATTTTCTCCGATTTATGAAGTTACCTTAAAAAAACAACACGCCTCACTAAAAGCAGAAGAATTGAACACAACCCTCAAAACACTGAAACAAGAATGCCCACGGAAACGGAAGAAATTGTTAATGTGAGTAAACCTGTGCGCTGCTTTACAGCGTCATTTGTGGTTGGATTCTGCATGCTGGACAAACTACAAACACGAGTGCAACGCAACTTTACCTGAATTTAAACTGACTTCCTTAATGGCGCTAGTGTTCAAGTAATCTTCTTTACACACAAACTTGTTCTCGTCAATTATATACAGTTCCTCTCCAGTGGATAGCTGCTTGTTGCAGACCATGCAGGTAAAGCAGTTTAAATGGAACACCTTGCTCCGAGCTTTTCTGACGAGGTCGCTGGGGGAGATGCCCTGAAGGCAGCCGGCGCATTTTGTGCCGAAACGTCTAAAACAGAAAAGGGAAAAAAACAAACGGTCAAAGAGCCACGTTTTATGCCAAACACATAAAAGCGAGAAATGATAGTAACCATCTGAAAACAGACAGCGCGGCTGTACGTGTTAAGACAATAATATGGTTAAAACAATGGTCCATCTCGATAATTATAAAATGGAGGTTGTTTTCCTTCTCACCCGGAAAATGGATGATATTAGCAACTCTGTGACAGATTCGACCTTTTATTTTGCCATCGCAATAGAGCTGGAGGAGGCCTTGAGAGGTTTCAAATTTACATTTAAATTGGCCGCACCTCACCAAAAAAAATCTGTTTAGGGTTTGCAGGCTGCAAGACTGCTATTGTTCAGTATAGGAGAAAACAGGTTCAAATTCCATACGAAAATCAACAGATAATTTCTCTTCCGTTATATTCGTGTACTGTATTATTCGTCTAATAATAATAATAATAATAATAATAATAATAATAATAATAATAATAATAATGTTTGATTTTTAAGAACAGAAATAAATTCGCGGACCTCCACATGTTTAGCTGTACTTCATTCATCTGTAGTGATGAATAAAGACGGTACGGTAAGAGAAAACTCTTCGGTTTATTACTCTTAATGAACGGCTGATGGGTGTCGAGCAACATCGCCTTCCCTTTTTTAAGGCCCCAAACAGATTATTGCAATTGTGACTGAGAGCTAAAAATTAACCCGACAACAGGCTTCCGCAATTCGCATTAGTGACAATCGACACATTCAGAACAGCGGCAGATCTGACAGGATTAAGAAGACTGCGAACGTTTCGCCTTGTAAAACCATTTGCCTAAAATAAGCTGATACGAGTGTAATTCACATATACCTTTCCGAGATCACAAAATGAGTGTCAGGCTATAATGTCGGCAAAGCAAACTCAATTCTGAAGAGAAATGTAAATCTATTTCTTTTATTCTTTCTTTGCCATGGATCAAATGTTCTTCGGAACATGCGCCTCATTTTCCAACATTATTTGAGGAATGAATGGGATTAATCTTTCTTATTTTTATTATTGCTGCTGCTGTTTTTTATTATGTATTAAATGTTTAATTTTTAAAAATGAAAACGAACATAATAATATTATCGACTGCTTCACATTGCTGTTATTATCTTTTTGTGCGAGCTCCTTAATTTATTTAATGAATGAGATATTTATCACTGGAAACTACAAATAGATAACTATTCTACCAACACCCAGCCTTTTAACGTGGTTTCTTGTGTTGGTTTTTTCCTTCAACGACCGCATTTACCTAAATGACTTTGATTTAGAGTAGGCACTGGAGGTCATAAGTCATTTGTGTCCTATCCTGGGGGCATAATTGTCTCATTTACAGTTTTTTTTCTCTTTCTCATGGTGAATGTTTACAAGGGCTCCTCCACAGAAACGGCGCGCAATGTAAATCCACTGTCAATAGATTTATTTGCAATGGGCTTGTATCGCTCCCTGCGCACTTTTCAAATGCACCTGGAGAAGGTCCGTAGAAAAAGAGGCTTTGCCTCTACTTACACAACAAATAGACACATTATCGTCATTATTGTCAGCAGATAAGAGGCCTTGTAGGGTCATTTGAGGGGGATACAATTGAAATTCCGAATTTGATGGCCCCCGCTAATATCGTGATAATTAGGGCTGTTTGGGGCCTCAGAAACTTTAATAAGGAAATTCTCCGCTTGTCATCCCTTTCAAAGCATCGCGTTACTTTAAGTCTTTTAAAGACCTAGATGTTGATGTTTTTATTTGTATGAATATAAAATCAGAACTGTACTGGAAGAATTACAGCTGCAGGATTTGGTACTGACCAGATGCTGCTAAACAATGAGATATATCTTCATAGAAGGAACCTGGCGAGCAAGGGCGATTTCAGACAGAAACACTTGCGATCGGGAGCCTGTAAGATGTACAGGGTGTGTGACAGTCGATCCACAAGAACTAAACTTGATTCCACTTCCATTCTTGAAGGGGGTTAGAGAATCTCTCAAGAATGAAATCAGGTTAAATCCTTTTCGTTTAATATGGCGTTGTTTAACATGACGGGGGTTTAAGGAAATTGTCATCTAAGCTTCTAGTTATTTTCCTCTTATTTGATTGCTCTTCAAGTCTGTGAACCTCCGCACAGAGACTGTCATGTGAAAACAATTTACTCAAACAAGGAAATAGACGTCAATGCTATTCCCTGTTACTCGTATTTTTAAAGTGAAATAAAACGGGGTATTGTTCAAGAATGAATAACAATATCGACCCCCCCAAACCAAAACAACAAACAGAAATCCTCATTATTTCGATTTTCTTTAGATTCACAAACGGGTTATTCAGCCTCTTCACCTCTTGATTATTTGTAAGTCTGACTCCAATAGAACAACTGTAAAGATATCGATTAATCCTGGAAGTGAAAGTCCACATAGGAAAGAGGGCCGTCACCAGTACTGGTCAGATTTCCTCGTCACAGACAGACCCATAGGTTAAGCACGCAAAAGAAAGCTTTTTGGCGAGACAGTGAATTTTACTGTTTGTGAGCGGTTCACGTTGATTTTGTCTGTTTAATTAGAAATATCTCTGAAGTGCATATATATAGTTTAGAATGCGTTTAGAAGCACATTTCGTGTTGTGATAGGGATAAAATAACACATCAGCATAACAGTGAGCTTTCTAATGCAGGAATGAGCTGTTTCAACACTATTGTGTTAACGCCACATTTTTGTGTTATTTCTTCTTGAAATGATGTAGTCATCGCACGAGCGTGGTTTTCCACATCTAGAAATATATTTTTAAACAGATGTGAGATACTAGAATGGCTTTCAACAAAAGGTCGAAACTAACAAAATAAGTGATATCTAAAGTTTACATACATCTACGTCCAATGACACGAACACCACGAGCTAATAATCCCCAGGGCAGCGCTGGAGAAAAGGCCGTCGGTACTGGAGGTGCGCGCTGCACAGCCTGCCTGCGCCGTCACCTGCGGAAACTAAAACGCCTTACCTGAAAAAGTCATTCTTGCAATAAAGCTTGCCGTCCCGGGAAAAGCATTTCTCCGTCAAATTGCACTTGCAGTCGCAGCACTGCACGCACTTAACGTGCCAGGCTCGGTCCAGCACGTTGAGCAGGAAGCGGTCCAGGATGGGCCGCTCGCAGCCCGCACAGTGCACCATCCTCACGCTGTCCTGGAGGCGACCCAGTGGCGACCTGGCGGAGCGGTCACGGCTGTCCGGACCCTGGTCCCCGGACCCTGCGTGGAACAACGTGTTGGCTGCCGGAGAGTACCGCCCGCGGAGCAGGTCTGTCCCCCTCACCGCGTCTCCAGCCCCACCGCGCAGTGGGCGACCTCCTTGGGCGCTGGTACCTACAACAGGCAACCTGAGGAGCTACTCCTGCCTCCCAGCGTCTGTCATCCTGATCCTCGGGGGCTACGAGCGGCGGACAGCCTGGTCTCCTTCTGCGCTGAAGCGCTCTGTGACGATGGGTCGCATGAATGTTCTTGTCCGCTGGGGCGAACGCATGGATTGAAAATGTACTTTTTTCGTCTTCTTCTCCTTCTTGGTACTTTTTTTCCCCCCCGAAACACCTCACGCAGTCACCATTCCTCCCATCATTGTGCTGCCCGTCTTAGGTAATTCGCGCATCCTTATTCAGATTCGGTGACGTTTCGGGTCACGTTCCGACCTCGACGGCCAATCAGGATAGGGTCGCCATAGCAACCTATTTAATTTATAGTACATCTAAATTGGCTCAAACGTTGCGCCGGGCACACTGGAAACAAACAACTCCTCAAAATGGTTGAGGGTGTTATATATATTTTTTTAAATGGCGTGGCTTAAGACCAGAAACAAAAGTATGTTTATTTTTTTTCTTGATGTTGGTGTCGTTGTTTTTATTATAGCAGACGTCACACTACGTTCAAGTTGGACTCAGAACAACAAAAGCAATAATTCTTTCCAGCCGCTCAGACATGCCGCTTGGGTCCTTTTACATTCAAAACCAATACTGAAAAGTGCTTTCAGGAATAATGGCTTTTCTACATAAATACAAAAGCCCGAAGCCACCAACTTTGCAAAGAGATATACTCGAGAGAAAAAAACGAAACGAAGGATACGTAGGTAGGCCGCAGCGGGATAAAACTCACAGAACACAAGCTCCCCGGGCTGTCCTGAGCCACAAATCTGCGCCAGTTTCTTCCTACATGTAGGCTATCCTGTTCGGTGCTTAATCGATATAAAGCGAAAAGCAATCTACTCCCCACTGAGCAACACGGCTGTGATACACTGGCGGCTGACTTACACGCCAACCAGCGCGGGAGATCCGTCGCGTAAAGACCACAGCTACAACTTGTTTCCTCTTCTTCTTCTCTCTTTACTTGCAAAAGTAGACAGAAGACGGCTCTCAAACTAAAGGCACTCGGGGGACTCAATACCAGCTTTACTTATAAGACTTCTACCTGCTGTCTGAAATAAAACCTTCTAGGGGGTCACATAGGTAGGTCAGCCTTTTATTGGTTTGGAACTGTAACACCACAGAAGTGTCTTGCTAGCGCTGTGAATATGGAATGTGAATTATTGTGGGTGTATGTTTTTTTTACACTAACCCTTAGGTTTTGTTTTCCGATTTATTATTTTCATTTTTTTTTTCCTTACCGAAGGTGTAGTCTGTATATTTCAAATAAAACTGTCTCCGCTCTTAATTTTCCGCACTTACGGTTTTCAAATCTTAACTTGCTATCGTGCATATTTACGCAATTGTGCTTATCTTCGCAGGGTATCCTGTAAGATTACAAATGAAAAAAAAACCCGACGAAGAAAGAAGAGAGAGTCTGTTGACATCTTTCACACAGCAGCGCCAGAGGCAAAAAAAAAAAAGTTTTTCGGAATAAAATTAAAACCGAGGTTTTCTACAGCAGTGCAAGCAAGTTGTGTCTCGCAATATTTACAGGGAGATGTAAAGGGATTAAGATGGCGGGACTCCCCTTCTCAAATAGAAGGGGAGGGTTTGACAACGGGCTAGACAAAGTAGCTGTTAATGGGGAGGAATTGGGATGATAAGTTAGTCATTTCATTAGCGGCGTTAATGAAGGCTGGGAGCGAGCCCGGGACCCGCTCGGACCCCGGCTCGGACCCCAGCGGCGCAGGTGCAGGCCTGCGGGGCTCGTTTGTCCGAGATGCGGGGTTTGATTTGTCTGGCACGATCATTATTCGGCTCCGAATGAGAACGTCATGCTCTTTACTAGGTCTCTACAGTTTTGTGATTTGTCAATCCTCACGGTTTATGTTTTTACTGAATATAGCGATTTTGTTCTGTATGATCAGCAATCTCCGGGTCTCTTCGAGGTTTTTAAATTCTTGATCTTTTAAACATTTGTAGCCTCCTTTCTCCGAATCATCGTGGGGGATAATATTTTATTGTAAATCATATCTGCACGGTACAAACGACATATCATAATAACACGACAGCAGAAACCAACAAAAAAAAACGCAAAAGCCCGTTTAAAATAAAAAAAAGGCTTCATTTAAATACCGCAAAGAAAATCACGAAGCGATACCACACGCTATTACATTACTGCTAATTTTCGTTTGTTTTTGATTCTGGAGTTTCGAAAAAAGACTTGAAATTTAATTGAAATTTCGTGTAGATAAAAACCTTTTATGAGTTATACATTTGTGACTTTGTCTTTCCGCAGTGTGCATGTTTTGGTTGGGTTGAGATATTCTTGTGGAGAATTGCGGTAGCTGGTACTATGTGATGGTTGTAGATTGTTATATATGCAGATCCCAGCAGTAACATAACAGGCGCTAATATGTTAAAAGTGAGGGGAATTGGGGAAACGTCATGCACCTTCTGCAAAAAAAATATATAATTTTTTACTTTTGAGAGACGATACGCTTTTTTTAAAGTAAAGTAACGAAAACCACCTTCTAGTTTTCATAGAAAGTCTAAATATTGAAGTCCTTTCGAAGGCATTACGAACGTGTTAATGTAACACACGCACCTCCGCGGATGTGCGCGATAATGATATAGCGGAGTCTCCGTGTTGAGCTGAACAATAGTCTGTATTTAAACACTCATTCAATCCGTCGGTTTATAACCCGTTAGGTTTCTAACCCAACCCACAAGGCTGGGTTAAAAGGATGCAAACCTTTGGATTTACAATACCAAAATACTCTTTTTAAAAGATTAGTCCAGATACATTCCTTGAATTCTCACTCGAATTTGCCCAATCACCTGTACGTGGTTTCATTAATTTCTTAATTTCGTTTGAGGGAGGAAAAATAGGTTTTACGGACATTTTCGCCTAAGTATTAAGTCTACTTTGTAATTATTATAAAGAAAGAAGCAGCGCATAAGACTATCAGACAAGCAATCAGTGAAATAAGTCGTTTTTACATGTTGAAAGGGCATCTTTGATCGCTGGGGTTGGAATGCTTTGACCTAGTTGATTAACTCTTAAATGTATTAGTATTCCAGCGGAAAAGACTGGCATCTTAATACCCAGCGGACAGTATGTATGCTCCGGGACACACACAAGCTCGAGTTTTAAAATCCCATGCAGGGGGTGCAAATGTTAAGAGTTCTCCAAAACAGAATAAGGAAGGAAAAAACATCAAAACTGACTGAGTGAAAGGTAGGACTATTTGAAACTAACTGTGAAAGAGAGACGTTCGGAATGCAAAAGAAGTGGATGGTCTATACGGTATAAAATAGATGGACGAGAATATTCGTTTCAATATTTCGGTATTCGACGAATTCTTTAGCCGGTCATATTCACCCGAGGCAAAATTCGTTCCAGTACGTCCAGTAGCGTTACAGACAGATTTTTAATGTCAGTATTGATCCCCAAATAAGCAGGAAGGAGAAACCAAACGCGAATTTGAAGGGGTTCTTGCCTCTGTCTCCCCTGCTCTGCTCTGCTCTCCCAGCCTCACTTGACGCCAGATGAGCCGAGTGTCTCACACGCAGGGGCTATCAGCTTGTTTTTTTCAAATGTTGTTTTGCGACTGGACTTCTCTTCCCAGAGCTCAACAAATTGTCACCGAGAGGATTTGACTCTTTTGTGTTTCAATATTTTCATTTGACGTAAGACTACTTCCAGGAGAAGACAAAAGAAAAGACGTCGATATAGCTGGGCTCAGCGTGTGAGAGTCATTTATTTACTGAATGTCACCCCAACAGCTCTGCGGAACGCGGGCTACCTGCCCTCTCACTCCGACACCAGTTAGACAATGACCACCAGGCTTTACTGCTAAATGTCACACGATTTGGAGTCAAACCCTGCCTTATTTTTTTTAAAGCAAAATTAATCTTAGTAGGTACCGAATTAGTGAGGAAAATGACAGAACGTGCTTAAAAAGGGAGAACATTTTTTTGTGAGACGGCCTCTTAACACAATTAATCAATCAATTCACATATCGATAAAACAAGGATTTTGAAGAGGGTCCTGTTCATCTTGTACATGGAAATTGTGAACGAAAATGTCCAGGACGATTGTTGGAGTAGTTTGTAACTGTTTGTAAATCGCTATGCGATTCCACACCTAAATCGGAATTCAGCAAATTGCAGAAACTAGACTTGAAGCCCTCAAGATCGTTTCCATAAAAAAATATAAAAAATAGAAATCTGAAACAAACGAATTTATCATTTTCTCCACGTTACAGGTCTTGCTAATGCATCAGTAGTAATAAAACAGTATCGGATTACCTAGTTTATCTTTTGTCGAGACTGTTAGTTTCTCTGCTCAAGGACGCAGCGGTTAAGAGAACGAGGGATCTAAATGTTTTGACACCTCATAATTAGTCAAAACAGTTTTATGGCTTTTAGTATTTGGAGAGAGCATGAGCCTCATTACTAGACTGGAGCTTTTGCAACACAGGAAAGCTACGTCTGCTCAGAGCGTGTCTACAGTCTCGACTTTCCTGGTCCGGGAACTGCAGGTGTGAAGCAAGTCGCCTGTCCTTTCGCTTTTTTATTCCCTGATATATTAACGGCCCAATTTTAACCTTAAACAAACCCAGCATGCTTCTCATAGGTCCCCTGTTTTTTACACGAGTGGCTGAGTTCCAAATTGTATATTTAAATAGTTCGCAGCATTCATGATAGCACCCCTTTGATTTCGGCCAAGCGGAACAGGCCCAGCCAATGAGACCTCGCCGTCGACACTTCTCAGCAGTGTAGCAGTGACTCAGAAGGAGAGGCTCACAGTTCCCTGCATAAAGCCTCTTTTCTTTTTTTCTCCTCTTTTTTTCAGGAGGTGAAGGGGTGGTTATTAGCTAACGGGCGGTTTCTGAATTAAAGCTCAAATCTGTCAGTTATTTCATCAGATAGCCCGGAGCTCAGACTACAGCTGTGTGCTGGGTATGGACCTCCTTCATCGAGATGTTCCGCCCAGCAAACCCTGACGGTGTTTACATATCTACTAGTTTAACACTTAACTACATTTTCTCAATTAGCTATCTAGTGCCCTGACGTTCCCACTTCTCTGTCCGATAGTAAAGCAAACAACCCAAAACACCGCTTAAAACATAGCGACACAAGTCCTTTCAATGTTTCACTATGACGAAAATTTCATAAATTCACCCAAGACAAATTTGATGCAAATAACCCATC